GATCGGTATCGGTGATCGGCCCTCATGGGAGATCGGAATCAGAATCGGCAGGAAAAAACCTGATCGGCACATCTCTAATTTAAACCAAACATTCAAATTTTGGTTCATTCAAATTTTCACTGAATTTGTGAAAACCAACAAAGAAGATGCTTAGTTTTCCCAGAAGTAAAACCAAAATGTTGTCCAGTTCTTGTGAACCCAATTTCGTACCTCGTCTCGTCCCGTGAGCCAGATGTTTCGTCACCCTCTAGTGTTTATATGTGTGATGTAATCCATCACTATACGTGTTTGTTTTTGGCACTACCTCAGCTCCAAACCACTTTATTGATTTTCATTTCGATTGGAACTTAAACCGGATGCGTACAATACTGTACGTCTGTGCAGCTCAAACATGGACAGTCTGTCCCCTCCTCAAACTAAAACGTTGCTTATAAAGCTGAAGATCTCGCATCATTGCTCTGAAATATCTTCACATTTCAGCTTTCAGTTTCCTGCATGGCTTCATGGATCAACCAATGAAACAACACTCCATCCTTCTCCCTCACAATGACTTTTTGTTTGTCTGTCTGACAACATCATCATCATCATCATGTCTCTGCGCCAAGAGCTTCATCCTTACACTGCAAAACACAAAATCTTACCAGGAATTTCAGTTCTACTTTCTAGTGCAAATATCTTAATATACTTGAAATAAGACAAATGTAGGAGCTTGATTTAAGTCAATTATTCCTTAATATTGATTAAAAAAATACTAGTTATAAGTCGAGATGCACTTTTTTCTCTTCCGATACCTGAAGTAAAATAAATAACTGAAACTAATAAAAACAATAGGTTGACTACTTTGGTCAAACATGTAAAAATAAACTGCATCAAACCTTCTTTCAAATGGTTCTGAAAGTACAATGAGGAATTTTAAATATTGTTTAAAATAAATAACAAAGCATGTCGTCGATCAGAGGACAAAGCATAGAATTAGACAGAATAGATCTGCCTTTATGGATTGGTAACATTGTCACCGATACTTGATTTAAATTTTTTCGATATCGGAAGCGATATCGATATTGGTATCGGATGGGTTCATCTCTAGTCGTAAGTGAAATAATAGAAACAAGAAACTTTCAGGGAAAAACATCTTGAAATAAGCTCATATCTTCTTGAAAAGTTACTCATGAGTTAGTTTTTTTTTCTTATTTCAAGTGTATAAAAATATTTCCAGTAGAAACTAGACCAAAAAGTACTTGGTGAGATTTAGTTTTTACAGTGTAAACCTCCTTGGTTTCTGATTAAATGTCAGAAATGCAGAAAATGAAGCTTTCCATTTCTGTCCTAACACACACACCTCACCAGGCATTCCTAACGCTTCCACCCATCACACACACACACACACACCATCTACCCCTTCCTTCGCCTTCCTGCCCACCCTCCCGCTTCACAGAGACCCCCTGCCTGCCCTGGCTGTACTCCCGGCTCACTGGCACCGCCCTGCTGGATGGAAGAGGCAATGAACAGGCTAAGCAAGAGTGATCTTCTGCAGCTTTTTAATTTATTTTTTCCTGTTATTTCCAGCGTCTTGCAAAAGTATTAATACAGCTTGAAGTTTGACAGATTTTGTGACATAACAGCTACAAACTTCAATGCGTTTTATTTGGGTTTTATCAGATCGACACAAGTGGCAGAAAAGTTATGTTTGTTTTGGTATGAAATGTTTGCGTTCTTATTTGGTACATAACTCACATTTAGTCTGACTGATTGGAGAACATCTGTGAAGATTGATTTTTATGGTCTGGACTTTGACTGGGCCATTATATCATAAATATACTGTCATGGTAACGAGAGCAACATGTTTTGGGATCATGATCCTGATTGAAGATGAAACTCCTTTTCATTTTTTAATATAAATATCTATACGTCATATAAATTTCTTCATTATTTATTTTTTATTTGTGTATTAGATTTCTTAATCTGGGACCTGAGTTAAGCAATAAAAAATCCTTGAATCCTTGAAAGGGAACAAAAGTCACAAGATGTAGATATTTGTTTCTATTTTGATTTTAAGAAAGTTGTATATTTTTTTATTTTATTTCGAAACATTTCCCTTGTTGCCTGGACAAGTTCAAACAAAAGACAAAATTTTAATGAAGAAACCTGATTTCTGCAAATAATTGGACATTTGAAGCATAAAATGTGTGAAAAACGTCAGTTTGTGTTGATCTAATACTGAAAATCCCAATGAAACATTGAAGTTTGTGGTTTTAATATGTCAAATTGTGAAAAACTTAAGCGGTTTTAATAGTTTATCAAGCTACTGTAGCTTTAAAACCCTTTCCTGCTCAGGACCCCGCACTTCTGGTTTTTATTTACTTCTTTTTTTTCTTTTTTAAACTCTGACCTCAAACACTTTGTGTCCGAGTGAGGCTCTCGTATTTGTGGGTCTTCGTACCGTCTCGTCTTGATGACTGTTGTAGCTAGCTGCATCATCGTTTCCGTGCAGAAATACAAACCAGCAGCAGGAGTTTTTTGTTTGTTCGTATCTGTTCAGTGTTTGAGGTCATGGTTGACTGAAAACCAAAGCATGACAAACGAAAACGGAGGTGAGATAAATTTGAAGCTGCATTCAACCATCCGTGTGTTTGCATGTTCGGATCTGTCAGTGTGAGAACGAAGCAGCTTGCTTTTACTCTCTCACTAATCTTCACACTCCTTCCTTCTCTCTCTCTCTCTTTTTTGTTTTATTTTTTTATTTTACTGACTTTATCTCCCTGCAGCACACGCAAACAAAACTACATGATGAGCTTTGCCAGACAGACCGGGATGCGTCACTACTACAGCCGCAAGCGGCGGGCACTGCAGCAGCGTGCCTGAACCCCCCGCTCTCCTCCTGACCGCATTTCGCCCCGTTGTGACCCGTCCGCCGGTGGATTCGAGTCCAACCGCCCATCTTCTGCTCGTTCTCAACAAATCACCTTGGCTTTCTCAACCAAACCCAATAAAACTCATAACGAAGGAACAAGGCGGCCATTTTGGAAAGGATGGTCCACGGTTTCGAGTTCTTTTGTAATTGTCGCTGCCATTCCTTTAAGTCCTTGGCCGTATCCCTTCTTTTCCCACCACACTGTGAAATTAAAAGATGATTTATCACTGCTGAACTGACCAGCTGGTTGGAGAGTAGCCTCCCAGTTCCACTGAGCCGCCTCCAAAGCTGCCAAACCAGTAAGCCAGGAGAAGGACACACAATGACCATAAAGGAGGAACAACAATGAAGCTTCAAAAAAAACTGAAAAAGAAAAAAAAAAATAGAGTACTGTGTTCTTGGTGTTCTGTGTGTTTGTGGGTTAATTTTGTGATAAGTTGACTGTGGTGTTCCGTTCATTTGTTTGTTTGTTCGTTTTCTACTAATTCATATGGTATTATAGGGGAGGGGCTGGGGGATATGCTGGGTTTTGTTTGCCTTCTTTTTATTTTTTGGATCACATGAGCAACGAGCAAAAAGCCTCAACAAACAACCAGAGAAGGAAGGAAAAGATTTGCACGGAAACTGAAAAAAGAAATTATGGGGAAAAAAATTTTTTTTGTTATAGTTTTTTTTTATATATATGTTGGTTTCCGAAAAATACAGATATTTATGGTAAATGGTTCTTCACGTAACCTATTTAAGATGCACTGTGCGTGAAATCTGTATGTTATTTTCCAGTGTTAAGTTATTAGACAGTCGAGTCAGGCTCTCGGACTGCAACATCTCCCCTCTTCCTTCGCTTTCCTGCGATGGCGAACTGGAGCTGATGTGGATTTAAAAAAAAAAAAAAAAAAAGTACTTTTCCACCAAAAAACACACAGACATTTTGAGGTGAATTACAAAAATGTTCTTAAAAAAAATAAGGAAATTCTGAGCTCGAAAAGTTGTAAAATTTGCAAGAAATAAGTCAGATTTTTTTAGGCTGATCTCAAATGTTTCTAGAAAAAAACTTGGAAGTTTCTGAGCTCAAAAAGTCAAAAATGTGAGAAAAACTCAAATGTTTAGGTCAATTCAGTTTCTGGAAAAAACATTTAACTTTCTGAGCTTGAAAAGTCGTAAATGTGCACGAAAAAAACTCAGAAATATTGGCATTAATCACCAAAATGTTCTAGAGAAAGCTTGAAATTTCTAAAAAGTTGAAAATTTTTACTTTTGGAACTCAGAAAATGTCCAAAAGTTGTGAATTTTCTACTTTTTGAGCTCAATAATTTCCACCTTTCTTATAGGAAATATTGTAAAATTTATCAAAATTTGTTTTTTCTCCCAAATGTTTGACCTGAGCACATTTGTTGTCTAGAACATTTCTGAGATTAATCTCAAAGTTTCTGAGTTCAGTTATTGCAAATTTATGACTTTTGGTGCTCCAAAATCTGAGATTGATATCAAAATTTGAGTTTTCTGAAAGAAATTTACTCCTTTTTTTCTGTCTACGACAGCCCCAATTTGCCGTCGTCCTTTCCTGTTTTCTTGTGCTGTTTCCTCCCTTTTTCCTCCCACTTCCTCTCCCTCTGCTGATTTCTGATACCTGGAGGTGAGGCTCTATTAGTGTCGTTTATGGACGTCTGTGTAACATGGACCCTCTGACCCTCAGTGTAACTCCAGTATAGCAATCTCCTGTATATATATGTATATCCACTATGGGGAGACCCAGCAGCCTTATAAAAGGGAAATAAAGAACTGTCAAACCTCAAACTCTACATTTTGTCACGTTTTTTTTCCCTCTCTTAAAAGCCTACATGTTATCTGTCATCTAGGACTTGAGAAAAATCATCTTTAATTTCTAAGCTACAAACCTGAGAAGCAGCAAGAAGGCCTGAAGATATTAATCTGATCGAAAGGAAAAGAATTAGGGCAACTAAAGTTTATTTTATCAGAATTCTGACTTGAAACTATTTTTCTAGTCTTTTTCTCACAATTGACTCAATTATGTTTTCATAATTATTTTTTCTCAATTAGTATTCTGATCATTAGATTATTTAATCTGAATTATTTCTCGTTTTTTCTCAGAATTCTGACTTTAAATTATTTTTTCTCAATTTAATCTCAGAATTCTGAGGAAAGTTGGAAAAAATTAAAACGAGATTTTTTTGCTTCTGGTTAATTTTTTTTTTTTTTAGCCATTGAAATTGCAGGTATGACCAGGTTTGTCCTATTTACACAGTGCTTTAAAAAAAAGTCTTGCACAGCATTATTTCATCTGAAATATTTTATTACAGATCTTGGAATAAAAACATAAATACTCATAAAAACATGGCAATAAAAGCGTCTGATGGCGCACACTGCAGTTTTCAGACTGCGTGTTCACCCCTCAACCTCTTATTACTTATTTTACTCACAAACAAGTAATAACGGCGGCAGCCAGAAGAGATATAAGAACATAAAAAGGTTCGACCTTGACCTCTGAGTTACAGTACGGCCAGTCACAGCAGCTGAAGGTCATGCCGTAGATCGTCCCTCTGAGCCGGATGTCGCTTTGTTTTCCGCAGCTCTTCACCGGAAAGCACCCCCTCGCCGACAGGGCAGTGACGTTTCCATAGCGACCCAGCGCCTTGAAGCACACCTCGCGAGGAGGACACTCTGTCACAATGAGTTCAAAGGTCATCGCCTCCTCCGTCTTCAGGATGGGGCTGTAGAAGCACAGCAGATTCCCACAGAGCAACGAGGGCAGAAGAAGAAGAAAACACAAGATGGCGGCAGGCAGCAGCTGCAGAACGTTCTGCCTGGGGAACAAGACGAAGGGAAAACTGGACAAACTTATTTTACTTATTTTCCCAGGAAAATCTACAATGTTAGCACAACTGTAAATAGAAAACCCCCCTGAAATTTCTCGATTTATTCCGAAAATTTTCTAGAAAAACTTGGAAATTTTTGTTTCAAGAGTTCAAAAAAAAAAAAAAAAGTCAACTTCTGGACTTTGAGAGATCAACATTTCTGAGTTTTCAAGGATTTTTTTTTTATTTCTGCCTAAAAGACTGAAATTTTTAGATTAATCTCAAATTTCCTAGAAAAATTATGAATTCTATTTATTAAATTTGAATTACAGGGGGAAAGTTAATTTCTAGAACTTTTATTCTGGTACCAAGCTATAAATTAATCTCACTGTATCATTTATTCTTTGACTTCTTGTTTTTGTCAAATTTTAGTTACTGCTCGTTTATTGAATTTTAAATAAGTTCATTTATTCTGTTGTATTTTTACTTTAAACTTAGTGCCTTCAATAGTATTCATCTTGTCAAAGATGTCCTTGTTTTATTTGGAAAATCATATTGTACAGTTTTTATCCGGTTGTTTGATTTACTGATTACATTTAATTAAGTTTGAGACCAGTTTGTTGTAAACTGCACAAAAATCTGGGATTTAAAAAAAAAGTCTAATTTCATTTTATCAGTTGTAACAAGTTTGAATGAATTTTAATGCAACATCTGTGTTTAAGTTGGATCAAAGGTTTCCCAACCTTTCCAAAGTTCATGTTGGTTTGTGGCACTTTTATGGGAGAATATTAGTGACGTACAAGTGGAATAGCTGCGTTTCCATTGCCAATATGCGCAAAACTTTAATATCCCGCTAGTGTCAAAAAAAAAAAAAACATTTTGCAGTTGTGGCGTTTCCATTAAATAAATAAATGCAGTTAGAAATTAGATGCAAATTCATGTTGCACCAACATCCCAACACTTCCTGTCTTCTTTCCCACCATCTGGTTTCACAACTTACAATGCAAAAAGTGTCTATTGTTGATTTGCAACATTTATTTTGATACAGCTGGAAAAAAATGAATGTGCTTGGCAGTTTTCCTATTAAGCAAGTTTATTTTTATAATTCCAAGTTGTGCAAGTTCATGGGAACAAAAACCCGAGTTGATTTCCCTGTCCAGGACTTAAGTCATTTCACTTACCTTTAACAGGTGTTACCAATTTCACTGTCACACCCAGAGTGTTACAGTTGGAAAGGAAATGCAGTACAATTTTAGTGAACTTTAAAACTTACCCAGTCATTTCACAGAGTTTTAACTCCAACCAGCCAAACATGAATGTTTTCTCTCAGTGTCTTTGGAAGAAAGTTGCACCTTTAAGCACACCTGCTTTCAATAAACAAGACAATTGTTTCTTAATCATGGTGCTTTATTGACCAGTGGCCACAGGCTAATCAGGAGGATGGATGAACAAGCCAACCTTTTCTCTCTGGTTTAAACATGCAAAAACCACCAATAACTGCAATAATACATTTTCCCCCTTTCAATTGAAAAAGTTACAGCATGCAAACATCTGACTAAATGCGAGTCTACTGTTGGGATCTAAGGTTAGGTCCAACAGGCCTCCACACGCAGCTATAATTTTGTATCAGAAGATGATGTGGTTTGGTTTGAACAGGGACTCTGGAGCGTCTTCATTAGAGTGGAGAGGAGATTATCTGGACTGGTCTTGAACCAAAGTGATACAATCAGGCTGGTGTTGACCCTTGGTGTAAGGTTGCATTTGTTTCCACAGCAGCAGCTGTGAGTGAGGTCGTAATGTTGCCCCCGATATCTGACCATTTCCTGGGAGTTGCAGAGTTTGATATCCAAGCAGCCTTGAGAGGACAGAACATGGCGGAAGCCTTGCCATCCCCAGGAACTGGCGCAGCGATGGTTGGGCGGACACTCCGTGTTGAGGGTTGAGCAGGGTACGTTTTTGGGCATCAGGGGGCAGAAATTACAAAGAAGGGTCCCCACAGTGGAAGCAGGGAAGATCAGAGCAAACAGGAGGAGGGTAGAGGTCAGGTGCCAGGTGGAAAGATGGACATCCACTCTGATGGAAAGAATAGAAAAAATAGTCAATTAGAAAATGAACTGATGTTTTTCAGTATCTTTGTATGAATTGAATTCTTACCTGCTTTTTCTTTGATACCCCATCTTCCTGTAAGTGTAAGCCACCCCCCAATCAATTTAAATATGTGCCAACATCAGTTCCTCTGATTATCAATCTCAATCAGGTGTGTTCAATGCCAGAGAGTGTTCTCCGCAGTCTTTAAGGGTTTCTAAAGAAATAAAACACTTACTGGCAAGAGTTAGCAACAGAAATTCTTCAGAAGCTTACAGAAATCATTTGCTTTAACAAGTTGAAGAAGGGTACAATTTAGTTGTCTAAAAATCAGTTTAAATAACATTTTTTAATTATATAATTTTTTACATTTGTTTTTAAACTACTTATGTCAGTTTCACGTTATTTCAGCAACCAAAGCGGATTTGAAAAATCGCTTCCGTTAGCTGTTAAAACAGCAGGCTCTATTGCTGTTGGTGCTCTTATTTTGAAATTTAACCGGACGTTCTGTTAAGAGAGGCGGAAACCGAAGTAATGGGAAGACGCTGCTAATGTCGGACCGGCTAAAACAAACTGCTATTATCATATCTAAGAAGTTAATACGTTTCTGAGATCCTGGGTTACAACTACAAGCTAGCGAAACTAAAAATGAAATAAAGTACGATACTATAAAAGTAAGCTAGCAATATTTTTTTAAAAGGAAAACGTCGAATTCGTCTTGTAAAACAAACTTGTTTCCACCATACAGGTATATAAAGAGTAGAAGCCTCATGCACCGCTCGGACGATTAGGGCGGCTATAAGTATGCCAGCCAATATTAGCTGGCATTTTTCCGGTGGATATAAATACAGTATAGTAATATTCTATGAATAAAAAATAAACTTATCTTACTTATGAAACGTTATCCCCTGAGATCTCACGTTAATAGTCTGTCGATCTGAACAAAAATATCCGGCAGTGCTGAGGTTTTTTCTGGTGTTTGGTTTAGCCAAGTAGGAGGGACGACCAAGATGGCCGCCGTATTTCCTGCGCCAGAGCAGCCAATGCGAGGTCTATGTTTATGGTTTCCACCACATCTTACTACTGTTGATGCGATGAGCGGCTAGATTGAAACGAGGTCTTTACCGGGGGGTAGTTGGAGTTGCTCCCAGTTTCCCATATGGCTGCAGAGGGCGTTCCAGTTGACTTTTCCGACTGGGTGGTCGGAATTTCCCAGTTCCGAATGCAACTGGAAAGCAGCATTAAAAGTCACTGCGAATATGGGGTAAGAAACAAGAAGACAAAAGGCTTCCAAACCAGATTGCACTTCTCAGTTTATTCATGTAAAACTACATCTTAGTCACTACTTTGACTAAAAACAAAAACAAACAAAAAATCTGTACAGTCCCGGAAGAAAAAAAGGACAAAATAAAAGATTTCTGAGGCAAAAATCTAGACTGTGGCGCCATCTGGTGGCCAATACAGCACATTGATCAAAGCAGCAGCAGCCGTCCATCCATCCATTTTCTGAACACCCTTGTCCCTCAGTGGGGTCGGGAGGGGTGCTGGTGCCTATCTCCAGCTAACGTTCTGGGCGAGAGGCGGGGTACACCCTGGACAGGGCGCAAGTCTGTCGCACGGCAACACAGACACACAACCATGCGCGCACACACACACACACACACACACCTAGGGGCAATTTAGACAGACCAATTAACCTAACAGTCATGTTTTTTGGACTGTGGGAGGAAACCGGAGTACCCGGAGAAAACCCACGCATGCACAGGGAGAACATGCAAACTCCATGCAGAAACACTGGGGCCGGGAATCGAACCCAGAACCTTCTTGCTGCACGGCAACAGCTCTACCAACTGCGCCACTGTGCAGCAGCAGCCGGTGAGTTTTAATGGTTTGTTGCATTGTTGTCAGTCAGGCCTTTGCACCATAATTACTAAAATGAGATTTAATTTCCTCGTTGAAATCCTCCTTCTTGCCTTCCTGCTCATGTTCTATCAAAGGAGAGCTGTGAATCCTTGTACAAAGGTTCCTGCAATGAAAAATAAAATTAATAGTTGGAGTTAATGTGTAAATTATAGATTATTCACAACATGAGGCAACTAATTTAAAAATAAGCATGTCACGATTAGCAATTAATCCGTTAGTCCCATAATAAATTAGAAAGAATTTCTGATGATTAATAAATGTTTTGAAAGTCAGTTTTGTTTACAGAGACATATTAATCCATTTTTATTTACAATTTTGGTTGCAATTGTTTTTTTTTATTTCTGTTTTATTTTTGGTTGTCTTGTTTTATTTTGGATATTGGCATCACTGTTGTAATGTCACTAGAGACTTTTTCATTATTTATTGAGGAACCATTTTTGTTATTTGTTTTGAACTAAAATCTCAGGAAAAACAGGAACTGTTTTTAAAATGAATTTTCTTTTTACGTTGTTAAATCTTTTTCTATCAGAAACAATATTTTTTGTGGCATGAAAATAATTCCAAATGAAAATCGAATTATGATTGAGTCTGCCACAATAAGGGTATTTTTATTTACAGAGACATGATAATCCATGCAATAAGTTTTTATTATTGTTTTTAGTAATGTTCTGTTTTGAATATTTCAAATATGCTCCAGGATTAAGTGTTCTTTACAAAATTAGGGTTTATTTTGTCTTTGAGATAATATTATTGCCAAATATTATTGTTTATTGCAATAATTACTGGGACAATTTACCATCCAGTAAAATTTGTTAATGTGATAAGTCTGCTTAAAAGTCTATTTCAGCTGAGTAATTTTGAGAAATCAGAGAAAGCCCACAATAAATCAAACCTCTCCACCAGATTGTTACTTTCTAAACATATTAAAGTTGTTTTGTATAGTTAAAACTTCCACAAAAAATGGAGCACTTCAAAATAAAGCATAATATATTTGCTTACAGCCAGCTCTTCCTCCTCATCGTCTTTGTCATAATCTCCCCAGTCTTCCTGTTCCTCTGAGGGGTCGTAGCTGTAAACCGGGATCAGATGGTGGCGCAGCTCATCTAATCTGAAGCACAAATAAATACAACCAAACTGAAATGGGATGGAAACCTTTCTAAACCCAACGGTGTCCAAAGTGTGGCCCGGGGGCCGATTGAGACCCTCCAAGTGTTTTTTTTTTTTCAGCCCTTGACCACAATAAAAAAATTTTTTAAATTGCACAAACTTGATTTTCCAGCTCTAGTTTATATTTGTGCAAAAAAGGTAATCTTACTGGGATTTTCTTTTAATGTAGACAGTTTTAAATCTTCTAAAAGCATTAATTAAATAGGAGTGCTAATATCCAGTCATTTCTACTGAAGAACAGATTTTGGGGAATTCATTCAGCACAGATTATGGAAAACAGTCAACATTTTGCAGATTTTATGTTTCAAATATTCAATGATTTGCAGCTTTCTTTCAGGCAGAAATCAGGCTTCTTTATTTTATTAAAATGTTGCTTTTTGTTTATAATTGTCCAGGGAACAGAGGAAATGTTTGGCAAAAAAAAGTGCAGCTTTTTTAAAATGTAAAATAAGAATATCTACATTTTGTGCTGTAAAGTCAGTGACTTTATGCAATCTGTTTAACTTCTTTAACTAATTTGAATAACAAACCAAACCTGATGCATTGTTTAATAACTGGGATCACATTGTGTATGATTGAATGGAAACGACTCATCTGTAAAGTTTATCAAGATTACCTGTTCTGAATAATGTGAATATATAAATAAACTGAATTGAGCTGTGCAGAACATTTTGATGCAAACAAAATTATTTCCTCTAGAAATAATAAATACATAAAACTCCACTCTTGAAAATTCAGTATATGGAAGTTTTGATATTATTGAATATTTTGCAAATATTTTTTGTAGAATGGTTGCTCAGAAATAACTGAGTTTGAAAAAGTAAAAAAAAAAAATCCACTTTTGGAAATTTTCTGATTCTCTAAGTCCAAATTCTTTTTATTTTTGAAACTCAAAAATTTCCAATTTGTTTTCTAGAACATTTCTGAGATTAATATAAAAATTTCTGATTTTTTTTCTAGCAAATTCTCAACTTTCAAAATTCATATATTGCCTTGTTTTCTCTTGAAAATGTCTGTTTATTCAAACTTAGAAAAACTTTTAGATTAATCTCAAGATTTTTTCATAGCAAGTTTTCAACTTTTGAAACTCAGAAATCTCTTTGTTTTTTCTAGAATATTTCTTAGATTAGTTTTTGGTGGAAATGTACTCTTTTCTTCTTCTCCTTTACATCTCCAGTGGCCTGAATACACCATAGTATAAATGACTTTTTCCAGAAATTCTAATCTTTTTTTCGTTTTTTATTTATTTATTTATTTATTTATTTATTTATTTATTTGTTTATTTATTTATTTCATTTTTTGAAAGGCCAGCTGTATCTCCAATTATAAAATAACCCAGCTGTGCAACTTGTACAGCTGTTTTTCTGTCCTGTGTAGTTCAGGCTTTCTGGTTGAGGAGGGTAACCTGTAGTTCGCTTATAACTCGGTCTGGCCTGCTGAGGTAGCAGCTTTTTACCGCAAGTGCAGAGAACAATGTTTTGATTTAGCTTTGCAGACACAAGCGGATGTTTTGTTTTGTGTGACAGGCGACATGTATGTTGCTGGGTTGGTTGTGGTTTTGCGCACACCCAAGTCTTGCTAACGAACCCAGACGTTAAGCAGCTAAATAGTTTTGTTTTATTTTGCGTTTCTATCTGGAGCTGTTCTTACTAAATACCCGGATGTCGTGGAGCTTACTGGAACATTACACGGTAAGCGCCTGGCATTTATGACTGGAAACAAAGCACCGTAGCCGATTTACCGTAACCGTGGTTTCGTTTTTGCCAGAAGCCTGCTCTACAAATAAGTAAACGTGTCATAATTTTTACGACTTGTTCTCCCTTTTTAAATTATTATTGTAATTACAGAGCCCTGAAAGAGTAAATTAAAAACGTCCTGTTCAGTTTTAGTTTCGATTTGAGGTTTCGTTCCTTCATGCAGGGCCGACCAAAGCTTTTTTGGGGCCCTAAGCAGATTTTCATTTGGAGGCCCTAATACTAACATGCCAATAACACCAGATGCTTCATAATTCCTAGGCTATGTGTGTAATATGCCAACTAGCATTAGCATGATTTGTAATTAGCATACATAAAACTAAAGCAGATTTTTAACCTTACAGGAGCAGCAAATTAAAATATTGATTTTGAAATGCATAATGATATTTAAGTGTGATATATTTTAACGTGACAATATTACATTAAAATTAATATTATGACAATTTAATGTGACAATAGTTGATAAACACTAAATTTATGGTAATTAAATGAACAAGTTTGATATTTTATATTTCCCCAACATCTTGAAGATATTGACCTATTTTTTCTGTAACAGGTATAAAAATAATATATATTTTATTTTTTCATGTGTAATAGCATTTTAGTTTATATTATTCTATCTTATGTTAAATATATAATCTTGGGGGGCCCCTGGTGGTGTGGGGGCCCTTTGCAGCCACTTAACTTGCAGACTTTTGTTGTGCATCTCATTTATGCAACTTACCTTGATTTCCTTTTCATATAGAAAACCTAAAAGAGAAATTTGCACAATATTATTACCATAGTTATGTCATTTGCTTTAAAGTATATGAAGTAGTAGACAGATTCTTACCACTGCCACTATGCAGCCGCTGAGTGCGAGTACAACTAGAGGCAGGAGGGCGTAGTACCCGGGGAATTCAGGTTTTACATTTGGAGTTGAAATAACGGAGGTCGTGTGGTTCAGATTCATTTCTCTTCTTTCCTGTTTGGCTCTTTTTCTGTTGCTTCTTCAGGAAGGTTTCTGCTCACACATTCACATGAAAACTGCTGCAATTCCCAAAAATAAAAGGTTGTCAAGACATCCAAATCCCAGAGTTCATAACGAGTCCTGCAAAAAAAAAAAAAGCAAAGAACACACACTGTAAAACCTAATTAGTTTTCATTACTTAAAGAATATATCATCACCTTCATAAAATAACAGCTCAAATTATTTTAGGAAACGCATGTCAACTGTTTTTAGTTTTCATTAATTAATTGAGTAACATTAAATTGTGCAGTTTTGGTGAGCGTCACTTATTAAATTGACTTAATTAATCCAAGTATGTTGTAATTACTTAAATGGCACCCAAAGCTTAATTTTTATTATAAACCACAAAGCTTTCTGATGGCAAAATTTAACTAGAAACTAAGAAAAATAAAGTTTCTTGATTGAAATGGCTCCATGCTCCTGCTTTTTATCTACTCAAACTTTTAGAGAAAATATGGAAGTAGTGAACTTTTTTCAGTAAAACAAACACAATCATATAAAAAGTGGCTTACTTAGTAACAATGCATTGTGGAATATCTTGCTGGTGGAGGTATTGCCTTTCACATAACTTCAAATCAACTAAATTAATTTTTAAAACATGTTTACCTCAAAAAGCCCTCAACTTATTTAAATAATGTGTAACGATGTAAAAAAATGAGTTAAGTCGACTTAATTTATTCCATAAAAGTAAACGTTTGTACACTGCAAAAACACAAAATCTTAGCAAGTATTTTTTGTGTAGCTTCTGGTGCAAATATAATAGTAAATTTGAAATAAGGTTTCAGCAAGAAATATGAGCTTGTCTCAAGTAAATATTTTCTTGATGGTGATGGAAAAAGTGCTTGTTCCACCGCCAGATTATTTCACTTCATAACATGGGAAAAATGTTTTGTTATAAGTTAAATAATTTGCCAACTGAACTGGTACTGAAATCAATATTAAGGAATTATTGACAAGCTCCTAAATTTTGCTGAAAAGTTATGTATACATTAGTTTTGTCTTATTTTAAGTGTACTAAGATATACATGGTAAGGTTTTGTGTTTTTGCAGTGCATACACCCAAAAACTTCATCCATCTTTTCCAGCTGAACACAATGTTACAGTTCTCCGACAGTATGTGCTGCAGATGATCTCTGAAAGGCGGTGGTGACAGTAAAGGATGAGTTAAGAAGAAAACCGAGGACTCACTGTGTGTGTGTTCGCTAGCTGCAGACGCAGTCACCCATCTTCCTCCTTATCCTCTCCTTCAGTGTCGCTCTCCTACAGAACCAGAGCGCTCATTCTGCAACCTGCTCTCCAACATTCCTGAATGAGGAGTGGGTCAGTCGCTGCTTGTTGCTAAAAGTAGCACATTTTAGGGCAGGAAACCTCCTTCAGGCATTAAATCCAGACCATTAGTGCTGGTTAAATGTATTTTAATCTGTAGGACTCTGAAGTTTGTTTGAGTAGTTTCTAAATGGCATGTTCAGTGGAAGTGGGGTGGTTGTGTTTAGGTTTGTCCAGCAGAGGGCGGGTTGTTGAGGATGAGTTGGTGGAGCAGTGGGAGGGCTGAGGACGCTCAGCAGGGAGCAGCAGTACCAGTTGGACTCGCTCAGCATGGCTTCAAACGGGAATTCACCTTGAATAAGAAGGGCTTTCTTTACATCAGACCTCTAATCGTAAGTTTTACCTTACAAACAGCCTCTACTTTATAAAACATTAACTTCTACATCTCATAAGTCGACCAACATTAAACTGTGGTCTCTGTTTAATCTTCTTTTTGACATGTTTTTACTTTTGTTTTGAAGGGCTGTTTTTACAGGTTAGTCGCAGGTTCTGACTTGTTTTTAAAAGTTTCAGGGTACTTCCAGAAACTTAGCGGCGCGGTCTGGTGGATTTCCTGCTTGGATTTGAAATCTTGTTAATGATTAGAGCAACATAAACCTTCAGGTTGTCAGTAAAGCTGCTCATAAAATGGCTCTCTCAACTTTCCTGACTGTAAAAACACAAAATCTTACCAAGTTTTTGGTCATTTAGTCCAACTATCTTAGTTCACTTAAAATGAGACAAAAATATCTTAAAAGTAACTTTTCAGGAAGATATAGAAGCTTGTTATGGGTGAATAATACCTGAATGTTGGTTCAAAATTATTAGTCCACTGGCAGATTATTTAACTTATAACAAGACATTTCCCCAGGTTAAAAGTGAAATAATCTACCGATCGAACTAAAACTTTTTTCACCAATATTAAGGAATTATTGACTTAAAAACTGTCATGAGTTGAGGTGGAGGAGGTGAGAGTGAATGCAGGCAGGACCCAGATTGAGAGGTGATGATGATGATTGGTTTAATTGACAGTCAATCAATCAATCAAGATTAATTGATTTAATTGACAGTAGCACAAACAGTCCAGTTCAGGCGGCAAGGCAGAGAACTAAGCAACAGCTTGAACCCGTAGCAACTGAAACTAATAAGACTGAGATACATGAGCTAACGCCGTCACAGGACTATGCAGTTCAACTGTGATGACTAAGACAATTACTGACAACGACAAGACTGACTTTAGACGAGGACCCGACAAGAGACAAAGACAACAGGTGGACTTAAATATACAGGGAGGGTAATCAGGGAGTGAGACACACTTGGGAAGCAGGGAAGACAGGACAGGGCTAAACACAGAAAACCTCAAAAATAACTACACTGAAAATACAGAACACAACAAAAACAAGCTCATATTTCTTGCTGAAAAGTTACTTTTATGTCAGGTTTGTCTTAATTCTAGTGTATTACTTAGCCTCCTGACTGCCAGGAAAAAAAAATTGTCCAATCACCATTTTTTAAAATCCCACAGTCTTTGTAAGGTAATAAAATGTTTTATACACTTACTTTGTCTCTTCCCATAAAATGTGTTATTACTGATGAACTCCATTTTTATGAATTAGAAAAAGTTACGTACAAAAGTCCCACCCCTTCACATGTGGTATCATTGAAAAGCCCTAAATGTCCTCTCCAGATACCAAAAGGAATTAATTCGGTAGAATGCAGGGGATGGGAGATATTCAAGTTTAGAAATACAGAGGACAAAAATGAACTACTGGTAGTCAGGAGGATAGATGCAATAGAAACTAGACGTAAAATACTTGTTAAGATTTTATGTTTTTACGGTGCTGCAATACGTTGCCAGCTCTAATGTACACTGCAAAACACAAATCTTACCAAGTATTTTAGATCTAGTTTCTAATGTAAATATGTTAATACACTAAAATTAAGACAAAAGAAATTTACAAATAACTTTTTTTAAAGTCAATAATTTAATATTGATTTTTAAAAAGTTGTCATTCTACTGGCAGATTATTTCACTTATAAGATGGGAAAATGCATTATTATGAGTTAAATAATCTGCTAGTAATAGCAGTAGTATTTTTGTTATAGTTTTAATGACTTATTTACTTAAAATGAGCTAAAAAATGACTTGTAAGTTACTTTTGTCTTAATTCACATGTATTAAGATATTTGACCTAGAAAGTGGACCAAAAATACTTTGGTATGATTTTGTGTTTTTGCAGTGTAATTCACTCTGATTTGTTTTGTCTTGTCTTTTAGCTCCTCATATTGTTTTGTAATGAAGTGAGGACCAGCACAGAAGCTTAAACACCATCAGCCAAAGCTAAAAAACAGAAATCATATGGATGATCAAGGTGAATCCTTCACCACGGATGAGCCGAGTCCTTTGAGAGACGATTTACTGACTGGTTATGAATCCATTCATGGAGCTCAGCCTGAGTATGAGACTGTGATGCCTGGGGTTGCTCCGCAGCCTGGACCTGCAGGAAATCCCAACCAGGAGATCCAGGTCGGCGCACCACCACCTCCACCAAGACATCGGCTTCCCACTATCCCCACTGAGGTGCGGCGTGATCCGCCCCCTCTGCCGCCGCGCAATCCGCCGCCTGTAGACCGCAGCAGAAATCGGTTTTACATTGATATTGACCAGCGTACTCATAAACTGATGCGATCCAACACAGAAGTACACAATTACGTGGGTATCCCTAATGAATGCACTCTTAAAGTAAAGCTGCAGTATGCAACTTTTATTTTAAAAACGTGTTTTACAAATTTGTTAAAACTGTCACCATGTCATGACTGTTTTTATGAGTTGGGTAGTAACTACTTTACTCAATTACAAATAAATAAATAACTAAATGTTCTTCACGTTTAGGATCCCTGGGCTATCAGGCTGATAGACTCTCCAGAAGGCAGCACAAATAATCTGGTTTCTTTCAGCAAAGCAACATCACAGTAAGACATTAGACATGCTTGTCGCCAGTGCAGCTTTTGTGGTGGTCTGCTGTTCTGCATTACCAACTGGTTTCGTCTAGTTTTTAGTGCAAATATCACAATATTAAAATATATGAATATTTTGTCTTAATATTAATTAAGACAAAACTAATTTACAAGTAACCTTTCAGCAACATATAGGAGCTTGTTTTATGTTAATAATTCCTTAATATTGATGTAAAAGTGCATATTATTTCACATATAATATGGGGAATATGTCTTATAAGTTCATTGCAAAAACACAAAATCTTACCAAATCTTGCTGTAGCTTATAGTGCAAATATCTTACTACACTTGAAATAAAACAAACTACGGTAACTTACAAGTAGCTGTTCAGCAAGATATGAGCTTTGTTTTTTAAAGTAAATATTCTCTAATGTTAATAGAAAAAATACTAGTAGGTACAACAGGCAGATTATTTCACTTAAAACAAGATATTTTCCCCATACATGTTATTTATCTGCTAATGGAACTAGCACTTTTTTCATCTTAAAACCAAACTTAAAACTAACTCGTATATAACTAATTTATTGCTGAAAAGTTACTTATAAGTTAGTTTTATATTATTTCAAGTGTATTAAGATGTTTCCTCTAGAAAACAAGATTTTATTAGATTTTATGTTTTATAATGAGAAATAATCTGTCAGAAGAACTAGTACTTTTTCATCAATATTAAGGAATTATTGAATTAAAACAAACTCATATCTTGCTGAAAAGTTACTTGTAAGTTAGTGTTGTCCTATTTAAAGTGTACTAAGATGCCCTGCAGGTTGTGAAGGTTCATCATTTCAGACGGTGTTTTCGTTGGTTTCTCCATCAGGTTGAAGTCACGATACAAGCACACCGACAGGATTCACAACTCGGGTGTAGTATGGGGCCGACTGTTAAATATCCACCCTGCGCTGCTGCAGCAGGAGGTCAAAGTCACTATATCCGAGAACGACAACATCCGGTTCCCCATTCCCATCCTAGGTAAGATCCCTGTCTTCATAAATGGGCTGCAGCTAACGGTTATTTTACTAATCGACTATTTTTGATGATTATTCGGATAAAAAAAGTCAGCATTCTGCAGATTTTTCATTTAATCTCTTAACCCATTTTTATACAATATTAGAAAAAACATTAAAAGATGAAAACAAATAAGTAACTGTGTGAGTGAGTGAGTGAGCTAGCTGGCTCACGACGTTGTCATTCTCGGTAGCTAGCTAGCTAGCCAACTAGCTAGCTCGCTAGTTAGTTCACTAAGACCTGAACTGAATTATTATACTCTTAAAAACACAGTTTGTCCATTGTGTAACCTTTACGTTATTTTTTAATCAGTGAACAAGAAGGTGAAGGACCTAATAGATGAATACTTCAAGTTGCTCGACCGCACCGCTGACACAAGCAGGGATTATGTTTTAAAATTTTGCGACTCTGAGGAGTTCCTCACAAAGTGAGTCTGTCACTGCTTTTTGTTCATGTCAACAATATAGATTTTTTTTCATAGATATATAATGAAGTTGAGCTTTTCTAAATTCACATTCTTTCCTTTGTAGTGAAGAATTTATTGGCATGCATGAGAGAGTGCAGCTGTTTTTCAAGACAAAAGAGGTGATCAATCTTCGACTGGTTCGTGTAAACAATCTGAATCGCCATCTTGCCAGAGATGTGAGTCGATTTAAATTCCCTTCCTGATCAGGCTGACGGTTCAAATGATTGCCCATCAAGAATTGGTCTTATCTTTAATCTTGAAATTCTGCTCTTGCAAACACAAAGAGCATAATGTCACCATCAGAGTGATTGTGGCTGTAAACCTCCACCCTGATTATTTTAAAGCTTTGTTTTGTTTACACATGCATTCATAAATGCTGGTTTTAAGATTCAGAAAGAACTCAGTGAATGAAAACTGAATGGGAAAGCATGAGGGTTTATTCTGTATAAACAAAATTCACTTCATTTTTTATTTTTTTCTTCATTTATTTCAAACAAGTTTTTAAAAACAATTAGAGAAAACATGTTCAGATTGAAACATTTAGCTTACCACTTCTCAAACTCCTTCTGTTTGAGAAGGAGTTGGAAGAAGTGAACACTTATTTAATCCTTCCTTTATCTCAATTTAATGAAATATATTACTTACTGATTCAATAGTTATCAGAAATTTGTAAATAAAACCATGTTATGGTACTCATATGCCTGTTTAATACACTGTGCTAAAGAACAAACAAATAACCTATATTACATAAAGAAAATCATAACAAGACAAGAAAATCTCCAGACCAATAATAATAATAATAATAATAATTAATGATAATTGTAAATACCCAGTATAACAATAATTACCAACCTCTTTCCAATGTGCACCTATGAATTCTTCATAATTCTTCAACTTAACTATTTGCATCTGCTACTGTTTTCTCAGGCTGCAGATGGTAAAACTGAATGCAGTTTGCACCAGTTCCTGCGGCCTGCCAGCGTCCACTGCACCGCAAAGTGAGATAGCAACATACTGTCCATTTCTTGTTTGTTTTCGATAGCTGCGTCAAGCGTAGCTCAATTCAGTGGCTGTTTGCACAAAACAACCAGGCTGACGTCTGTGCGTTTTATCATTCCTCAGGTTGAGCATGGAAAATGTGCTCAGTGCTTTCAACAAACATGTGAACGAACTCTTGAGCACTAAGGTATGAGGAAAGAACCAGTCTGGTCACTATTGCCTTCATAGAAAAGCTTCTTATTTAATGTTTGGAGTCTTTTTGTGTCTTCAGTGTAGTAGAAATATCCCTCTGGTTGTGACGAATGTTCGCGTAATCAGTAATCTCCTATCTGGGCTGACATGTCAGGAGCTAGAGGATGCCATTGGTGCCCTTAATCGAATCAATCATGTAAATATGGTAGGTATTTCCCACACACTTGGCATGTATGTTTTGGCAGTATTATGCTGAGAGTTGAGGGGGAGATGGATGCTGCTAAAACAGAGTATTCCTGGAAGAAAACCTGTTGGGCTTCATTTTCTCTGAGCAGTACTATGAGTCGGCACAAATCATTACGCTATTTTTGTTACAGTACCATTTAAAATGACTGCGAAAACTGATACAGGGGAATCATACCATTGATATCGGCTGTGAAGTATTGCTATTGAAGTGAACTGCTCAATATATCATGATATTGACTTTGGGTCAGACCAGACCAGCCCTATGGGATGGTAATGATGTCACACAACACAGTCCACTGATTGGGCGACAGAAAAGCCCCACTGCTAAGTATGACGTCTCATTAGGCGCTTGACACAATCATAGTGATCCGACCCGCCGACTGTACCGACCGCTCAGTGGAAACCAGGCTTCAGAAACTGCTGTGTAGAATGTCCAAAAACTTTGTGTTTGTCTAGCACGTGAGAACGCAATAAAATATTTAAAATGAAAGCTTATAGTTGCTGTATGACGTAATATGTCTTTAATCGCCTGTGCATAGTTACAGTACATATTTCTCTTTACAGAACCAAGAAGAAATGATGGAGTGTGAAGCTGGTGAGTCTCTGCAGAGGCAAAGTTGTCTATATGTGAATGGAAAGACATTTACAAAGCAGATTTTAAAGAGTTTAATTAAACTTGAGTTGATGTTTAATGAAAGGAGCAACACAGTGTGTTGGACCATAAACTAGTGAGGCTGTACAACCCCCCAAAACACAAGTCTGATTCTGTCAATTGTACATTTGATCTTATTGTCAAAGCATAAAGTTTTGTAGAAATGTTGGTGTTTTAAGGACCAAAATTCATATAAATAACATAATTACAAAGTAATAAAATCAGTCAAATGAAACATTTTCCCAAATTAATTTTTTTCAATATGAAAATTTAACAAAAGCTGCAGATAGTTCATTTAATGATGTAATTTTTAAATATTAAATAAAAATTATGTTTTGATCAGTTACTCAGCTCTTGAGCAGCCTTTGAGTACAATTTCTGGGTACTTTACCCACTTCTGGAGATTTTACACAAAAATACGATGAACCTGTAAATCACTGGGTCTAAATAAATCAACACAGAAATGGTTCATTAGACTCACAAAACAATGTTCTTCCATGCAGCAATGACTCAGAATTAGAACATGTAGTAGTGAGGTTGTTTAGTTTTGACCCGTTCTGTTTCTGATTTCAGCCTTGATCATGCTCAGTGGGGCTCTGCTCAAAGTGCTGCAGATATATTTTGACAATTTCCAGTCAGACTTCAGATCCCACAAACTTATCGGCACACCCCAAACCGACGATGTCGATAAGAATCAGGAGATTTTGCAGTTCAGCATAGTTTCCATCTACAAACTAAACCCGAGCTGGATGACGTACGTTCACGCTCAGACTTATTCTCCTTCATCCATCCAGAACAGAAACTAATAAGGCACAAATCCTTATTTTTTACCTTTTGACAATTACAGTAATTATGAAAGTTTCTCCGTTTCCTGTGACTTGACATACGGAGAAACAAAGATCTGTGAGACCGGCGTTTCGGAGAATATCAGCACGGCCTTCTCACAAGGAAACAACATCTGCTGCAACCGCCTGTAAGGGCCAGAGTTCGTAATGATTTTTTTGATTTTAAATGCATAATTTGAAAGATGAAAAACAGTCAAAAGGCTCCTTGTTGTTTTTAAATTTCAGGATGGTGTTTCCTGTTCGAGTTAGTGAGTTGCCATACGAGTCCATGCTGACATTGCGCCTTAAAGGCACAAAGCGGGGGAGAAACCCAGAACTTTTAAGCTGGGCTGTTCTGCCCCTGTACAGCGACAGGTAGGTTTACAGATACTAACCTCAAAAAATTTAAAAGTAGGGCTGGACAATATGGCTGAAAACCGCATCATGATATGAGCTTCATATCGGTCGATATTGATAATAGTTAATTAGTTCTTTAGTCCTAAATATCTGGAATAATACCAAATTGGTGGCGTGATCTTTCCTCTTTTATCTAGTTTTCACTAAAGACCACTGTTGAAAACTGCTTCCGCGCAAGTTACTCAACTGGTTGTTGCTAGGTAACCAAAGAACTAGAGAGTTGCTAGGTAACTAAAGAACTAGAGAATTGCTAGGTAACTAAAGAACTAGAGAGTTGCTAGGTAACTAAAGAACTAGAGAGTTGCTAGGTAACTAAAGAACTAGAGAGTTGCTAGGTAACCAAAGAGTGAGAGAGTGAGTTGATTCCACCAACCTAAGCTGGCAGTGAGAAATTGAGCCGCTAAAGGCTTTCCTCTGCCTACATTTCCCAGAATGCTGTGTGGTTCTGGGTCAGTTCAGTGAAATCATTGAATATTCTATCAGACCTATTATCTACTGATACTGATCACGTCTCTTATCGCGATATTTATTATCGATTTATCATCCAGCTCTAACTACCTGACCAATCACATTTTTAAAAATGTTAATGTTTTGTTCATTTTCACATTGTTCTGATAAGACGGAGGAATATTTTCAGAGTGTTGTAATTAGCCTAAAAGTTCCTGCCGTTGAGTCCTCAGTCAGTTGACAGAAATCTCCGTCTTAGTGAGGAGATGTGGTTGAACCTGTTGCTAGGTGTGACCTTGTCGTCTAGGGACTGTGATTGGTTGATGCACCAAGCAGAATAAGACACAAAAAAACAAATGTGATGAGTTGACAGAAATTAACCGATCTTACAATCAATAGCCAATACAGTAGCCCTTTTTTGTTTGCAGAGACTTCATAATTCATTTTATTAGGGTTTTTTTTCTGTTTATTTGAATGTAGATTGTACTTTCTACTCTGTGTCTGTTCAGGACTTTTGTAAGAGGAGCTGTCCTGCTCAGCATGTCCTCTCTCCCTGAGCTGCCGTTCCCTCCGTCTCCTGCGCTGTCCGACAGCCACAGGCAGCCCAAAGACGTCATACTGCAGGTGAGAACCGGGCAACACAACCTCACACCGACTCAATACACAAAAGGACAAGGGCCACTAACTTTTCTCAGAATTTTGACTTCATTCAGAATTTTGAGTTGTCAGAACTCTGAGGAGGGAAAAAAGCCAAAATTATGAGTAAAACATCAGATTTCTTTTCTGTGACCCTAATCTTCTTCTCTAACTAAAAGATCAACATCCCTCCTCACATATTAATCTGGTTTTACAGCTTGAATTTGACGACCAGTGTGAGTGGGAATACCGCAGACCCATCGCTCTTCCTGGCTTAATCAGCTTTACTCATCCTTGTGATGAAGTGCAAAGGAAATTATCAGACATCTCCAAAAAGCATTGCCTCTACTTGTAAGTAGGAATATCAGGAATTCAGGTTGTGTTTTGTTGTTTTTACATAAACCCTTCACAGATTTCTCTTTGCATTATCAGCCTGACAAAAAATGAGAAGTCTTTCCTGTGGGACAAACGTTCCTGCAGTGACAAAGGAAGCACGTTCCTCCACCTTCTTCTCGGTGGCGTCCCCCGGTGGCATCCTGAGGACTTGACAGAAATCTACACGGTGGTAGAGAACTGGCCCATTCATCTGCCAGAGGAGGCTCTCTTCCTGCTGACGCCCAGGTAAACAGAAACACGACGACTTTACAGAAAATGGAAAACAATATAACACACATTTCTAATTAAAACACACTTGAGCTGAAACGATTCATCGGATTAATCATGATGGATCGATTATTGAAATAATTGCCAACTAATTTAGTAATTGATTAATCGTTAACTTGAGTATATAGATTCAAAAAAAGATAATTTGCTGAAAGAATAACATTCAGAGCAGCAATTAAGCCAAAACTATAAAAATGTATAATTTTGCATTTAAGATAAAAACACTGTGAAATATGTTTCAGTCAAAACTTCAAACTTCAGAAAAATTGTATCTGAGGATGAACCAAACTCGTGGAAGTTTCCAGATTTTCTCCTGATATCATGGCAGAATTTTTTTATGTAATGAATTTATTTTTAATCAAGTTGTTCCACTTAACTTGGATGATTTGAAATTATCTTTGAGCTTCTAAAGCCATAAAATTCCATAAATAGTTTGCTGTGATGCAAAAACACAAAATCTTACCAAGTATTTTTGGTCTAGTTTCTGTGGCAAATATTTTAGTACATTTAAAATTAGACTAACTAACTTATAAGTAACTTTTCTGAATGATATAGGAGCTTGTTTTGATGAAAAAGTTCTAGTTTCAATGGCAGATTATTTCACTTGTATCGAGACATTTCCCCCCAGATTGTAAGTGAAATAATCTGTCAGTGGAACTAGAACTTTTTTACAATATCAAGAAATTATTAACTTAAAACAAACTCTGATATCTCACTGAGAAATATATTTCACCACAACTCTACAAAAATATTGTAGAATTTTATGCAGTTCTAGCCCTTACTGACATAGAAACTGTTCTTGGCTAAGAAACCTGCCGTCCCATTAAAACGTATGTAAATCTTGTTTCTTGAAACTTCTCTTTCAGTTTTCCGGATGAAACGGTCCGAAAAGCTGCGGTAGATTATTTTGTTCAGATTCCAGATGGAGCGCTGGAGTTGTTTCTGCCACAGCTGGTCCAGGTAAAGAAAGTAACACAGAACTTTTCAAAGTTTACAGAAAGTTGTCAGATATCAATAACTGAATAACCTTTTTGTTTTGTTTTGTTCTTAAAGGCTCTGAAGAGCGAGTGGAAACTTGACGGGCCTCTGGTGACGCTGCTGTTGGACCGATCCCTGAAGAACATACGGATTGCTCATCAGCTGTACTGGTCAGTCGGACTTTAAGCACAAGGACTTTGATTATGTGTTAAATTAAAGTTAAAATAAGATGTTTTCTAATTAGATAATATATTTCATTACAAGAAGCAGCTGTGCTCACATTGTGCCTGATCAAAAAATGTACAGGACTTAAAATGCCACACTGTTCAGATCCAATATGATTAAGAAAATTAGGAACCAACAGAACCTGCACTAAAAAAACATAAAATATTTGGTCTAGTTTCTAGTGCAAATATTTTATTACACATTAAATAAAACAACACTAACTTACAAGTAATAAGCATTGCTTTAAGCCAATAATTCTTTAATATTGGTAAATAACATGGGAGGAAAATGTGTTGTTATAAGTTAAAACTCTTAGTGGATCTAGTAAGTTTTTTAAAATCAATTTTAAAAATTACTGAAAACTCGCTCTTATATCTTGCTGAAAAGGTGCTTGAACATTAATTTTGTCTTATTTCAAGTGTACTAAAATATTTGAAATAGAAACTAGACCAAAAATTGTAATCAACCCCAAAAGGTGTCACTGATGACGCATTTCTACCTGCCAACTTTGCGTTACAGTAACTCTGCGATATTTTGCGCTGTCTGAAAAATTCCAACGGTTTCTGAAAGGGGAGACGTTGTGCTTTCCAGCCAATATCAGGTTATTACGGTTATTTCACTCCCACCGTTGCAGGAAGCACGTTTTTCTGTTTTAATAGATGGTAAATTGTAAATAACTGCTAGATGTTGAAAGTTTCAGTTGCTATGGAGAAATGGGCAAAAGTATTTACTCACTGAGCATTTAAAGAACTTTGTACAATTAAAATAAGAGAAAATATCCAAGTGGAGGTTTGAGACTTGGTCTTCAAGCGTTAATCTAAATGTTTTTGGTATTTATATGTCAAACTCTGTTTTTCCAGATCCCTTTGTTCACATGTTTGTGGTTTAAATATCCCTGCAGGCTGCTGGAGGACACCCACACTGACCGCTACTTCCAGAGCTGGCTGAGTAAAGTCCAGGCTGCCTTGATGCACTGCTGTGGCCGAGCACTGAGGAAGGAGCTGGAGCACGAATCTCATCTGGTGCAACTTCTCGTTCAGGTGGCCCAAAAAATTTACTTTGCCGACAAACCTCAACGCAAGGTTTGTAAAAAACATTTAAAGTGCCTTTTATCATAGCGGTAAAATAGTTGGTTACGTATTTTCTTTGGTTTTATATTTTTGCACCATTTGATTCTTTTTGCAGAATGTTTTGAACAGAGAAAAGGGAGTTATTGATGAGTTTTTCAAAAGTGGCATCACCTGCCGTCTGCCTCTAGATCCTGCAGTCAGTGTGAAAGCTGTCAACTTGGATGTAAGCATGCACACTTCACTGCAAAAACACAACATCTAACCAAGAGGGTTTGGTCTAGCTTCTAGTCTAAATATCTTAGTACATTTAAAATAAGAGAATATTAATGTAGAAGTAACTTTTTAGCGAGATATAAGAACTTGTTTTAAATAATGCCATAATATTGTTTTTTAAGCAGTACTAGTTCCACTGACAAATCATCAACACATTGTTCCCCATGTAAAACTAGACAGGGGTGTCAAACTCAATTTCACCGAGGGCCACTTCAGCATATTGGCCCCCCTCAACAGGCCATATTGACGGTACAAATCAGGAGTGCATCCCTGCTAAAACACCCCAGACAAAAGGTTGACTTCCCTCATTCAGTTCTGTAGAGGCTTATAATGAGTCAATGGTCCAGGTGTGTTAGAGAAGGAATCCATCTAAAGCTGCAGATGGTAGCTCTGGAAAACTAGACTTCGGCACCCCTAGCATAAATGTATAAAAATACAATGTTAAAAATAAATTAAACACCTCATATTGTTAAATAACTGATTTTATGTATTGAAGTTTTAAAATTTACATTTGAGTTTCCATGGATGTAAAATTACTGCTCAGTTTAAAAATTACAATATTTAAATCAGTGTTTTAAGGTAAGCAAGCAAATAATAAAAACAAGTCACATGGGCAGACATTATAGACTTTACACAGAGATTTAGTCTCAGGCAACTGAAATCAATTAATTAAAAAAATCCTTTCTGAATATCATCTCATGGTCTCTAAACTAAATGTGTCTTTCTGACCGGAGCTGACAGCGTGTTGAAGAGTTATGGACCGGACGTTTTGGAGTGTCTGGTTAGGAAGCGCATTACAAACCTTTGGTTGAAATGGCGCGTTAAAATTCAAGTCTCCATTACAGACCAGAGAAAACTAAAGAGAATGAAACGTTGTGTTAATCCATTTGAGGAGCCGGTAGTTTATCTTGAGGAAATAAATGACGACGCAGAAGTTAATTAGACTGTAACATGCGCAGTCCGCTGCTCAACCACTGCGGAGTAACTCATCCAGCGGATTCAACAAATGGAGACTTCTGGGTTCACGTTACCCAGGAGAGCGGCGCTCTGGAGGAGCTGCAGACGTAACATCTGTCCGTTTCAGAGAAGCGAAACCACGCAATAAATAAATAAATAAATAAATAAATAAATAAATAAATAATCCTGGTAAAAGCGCACACCGGACCGCACAGCGTAAAACACTCACAGAGTTCAGTTGATCTGTTTGGATCAGACAGATCCAACTGACTGATGAATTAGCGCAGATTTTTCTGCAGATGGGGTGAAGTGATGCTAATTTAAGTGAAGTCGCTTAATTTAATTTATTAAAAGTTATTGGGGTGGTTTTTGTCACTACGAGAAAAATGTAGATGTATTTATCTGCTTAATCTGTGATGGGATCTGGATTCACGGTGAATATTAATTAAACTGCATAAAATGCGACTAAATAGCCGATGTTAATATGATTGTAATTTCACGGATAAAAATAGTACATGACCGATTTTTTTTTTTATGTTGTCGGTCAAGATAACGGATAACA